CCTTACCTCCTGCGATGCTCCAGTTGCTCGGCGGAGCGTTGCACAGGTGGTGTATGCTCCGTGCGCAAAAGCACCAAAGAGCTCAAATACAGATAAGGAGGATGGGTAGGTGGGCCCCTTTGGAGCACCGTACCAGAACGGTACCCAGTGCTCCCGACAGGCACCGGTATGCCGGTACCGTGGCGTACCGCCTGCAACCCACCACTGCTTCCATCCCTGGTCAATATCAGCATTTCTGAAGCAAAGTTGTAGTTCTGGAATTCTTTAACATTGTGAGACCGTCCTTGTCAATAAAGCTGAGAGTGTTACGTCTTTTATTGTGGCCGTCGTTCAATGATCTCCACAATCATTTAGTGGAACCAAAAAAGCTATGGGGCTTTTTTTTTTTACGAAAAACAAGAAGAAAATGCTGTTTTCTGGCCAAGACAGCGTAAATCAAATGAGCGTGCAGGATTCTGCAAACAGCCATAAATGCAGACCAGTTTCTGGGTACCCAAAATGTAATCCGTGAGGGGTGGGGTGGGGGCGGGGCGGGCAGCCTTTGGAACCTCTAATCCAGGCTGTAAGTACCTTTTTGGGGTCCATAGTAACTGCTTTTTGGGTTTTGGTTAGTTTTTTGGTTAGAACAAAAAGGCAACTAACTTGCTGATAATCCAGCAATTTCTTAGAATAGATGACAGCGTTTCATACACTAATTTTTACATTTGTGTTGCACTTGTCCTGTCAGTCTAGCTTTTCCACTCTTTTTTTTAAAATTAAGATATTCTTTAAGTTGAAAGATGCTGGGTAGGTGAAAAATCAAAAAGTGTAATTAGAACAATAACGCTGAGTAAGGTGTGTTTGTTTGTTATGTGGCTAGAACAGTGATCATTTGCTGTTATTCCTCTTTCAGCTTTCCCTATTAGATTTTCTTTCCTTTGCGCTAATGAACAAATGATGTTTTAATAAAAGTATGGTTTAACTGAACAGGAATAAGACATTTTTTGCCATGAGAAAATAAACAAAGGCGGAAAGTATAATTGTTATAACGGGATGGCAAAATTATAGATGGGAGTTCAACAAACATCTGAGGGTTTATAACTTGGAACCTGGATATCTGATGGTAGTGATGGAAATGGCAGGATTTACGTGGAGAGGGGGTAGGCAGGAGAAAAAATAAATTTGGAAAACTCACTTTGCATAGTGGAAGGATTTTCCTTTATGGAACATTCCATTATGGAGTTGTCCTTTCAGATCAAACTAATGTAGTAGCTAAATCAGAACAAATGCTGAGGTGAGGCCGCAGTATAAGCATATTTACAGGCTTCACATATGACAATTTCTTATTCGCCTTTCCTTTTTCTTATTTGTTACCTATCTGAAATATGTCCTGTCAGCAGGGTTTCTTCCCCTCCTTAACAGATTTGCTCTGGAAATGAAAGTGATAGGAAGAGCAATGGGAAGAGCCAGGAATCTTTTAAAAACAGAGGCCAGTGTCATCTGGGCCACTCATAAAATTCTGTTAATAAAACAGTTGCAAAATTAAAAACCTTCTCCTCCCTTATTCCTCTACTTTTGATTTTCTGATCTTTTCTTGTTCGTGATATTAATGAGAACCGGTATAATATAATGATTAAATTGCTGGTTTGGGGGTGGAGAACTTCATATTCAGGTCCCCCGATATACACTGGAGTGATTATGGGATGATCTCTCTCTCTCTCTCTCCCTCTCTCCCCCCCCTCTCTCTCTCGTAATTTTAGTTAATTAGTGTGGAATTGAATCATGGAGGTGAGAGGGGGAGTCACAAAGGTTGTAGAAGTTCAGGTGATGGATTGTCTGATCCTGAGAAGATAGGAAGGATGGACAGTGCTGGAGAAAGATGGTGGAGAAGAGGATTGGGTAGCTAAGGAAGACCACTGACATTACTGACTCCAGTAGCTGATGTTGAGAGATTTGTGATTGTGGAGTTGCTGAAGCAATAGGCCGGGAAGAGATGTGAAAATTGTCAGCTGGGGATTGCCAAGACTATAGAGAAGGAAGTTTCCTGGACCTCTGGCTCCTGCTGGGTTCACGGGAAAAAGTCATATATGGTTTGGGGGGGGGAGGCTTTTACCAGGTTCTTTTGAGACATCATTTGTGGTCCTACCTGACTAGGCCACTACTATCCTGTTTCCCTGAAACTAAGACCTCCCTGGATAATAAGCCCAATTGGGCTTTTGAGCGCATGTGCTAAAATAAGCCCTCCCCAAAAAATAAGCGCTCCTGAAAATACTGCAACACAGCAGCAGCTGAGGTGACCATGCTCGCTGCCTCCTGCTCCTCAAAAATAATAAGACCTCCCCAAAAATAAGACCAAGTGCTTATTTTTGGGGGGTGTCAAATGAAAATAAGACCCTGTCTTATTTTTGGGGAAACCCGGTACTAACCTTGATCACTTCAAGGAGGTTTACATGGAGCTGCCTTTGAAGAATAGGCAGACTTTGGAATTGGCATAAAAGGTAGCAGAACCCCTGTTGGGATTGATGATAGTCACAACAGCCATACAGCACCTGCATGGGAACAGCTATATTATAACTTGAAGAGCTGGTTTTAACTCCCATGTGATTTTTAAAAAGTTCTCCAGAGGCCAATTCTCTTTAACTAAGCAATTTCCAGCTTAAACATAATGGAACTACTATAGGTAGTCCTTGACTTACAACAATTCATTTAGGGACCGTTCAAAGTTACAATGGCACTTGAAAAAAGTGACTTATAACCGTTTTTCACACTTAGGACCATTGCAGCAACTTTGTGGTCACATGATCAACATTCAGATCCCTGGCAACTGACTCATATTTATGACGATTGCAGTGTCCCGGGATCATGTGATCACCTTTTGCGACCTTCTGACAAGCAAAGTCAATGGGGAAGCCACATTCACTTATCAGCTGAGTTACTTAGTTTAACAAGTACAGTGGTTTACTTAATAACAAGGGCAAGGTGGCGCAGTGGTTAGGGTGCAGTACTGCAGGCCACTTCAGCTGACTGTTATCTGCAGTTCAGCAGTTCTAATCTCACCGGCTCAAGATTGACTCAGCCTTCCATCCTTCCGAGGTGGGTGAAATGAGGACCCAGACTGTGGGGGTGATATGCTGACTCTGTAAACCGCTTAAAGAGGGCTGAAAGCCCTTTGAAGCGGTATATAAGTCTAACTGCTATTGCTATTGCTATTGCTATTGCTAATGGTATTGCTAAAAGTCATAAAATGGGGCAAAACTCACTTAACAAATGTTTCACTTAGCAACAGAAAATTTGGCTCAGTTATGGTTGTAAGTTGAGGACTACCTGTACTATTGTCTCCAGGGTCTGTTCTTTGGAGCAGAAACATAGAAAGTTGGACATGGAGAATCCCAAGAAATAAATACGGTAATCCTGTACTTTCCACTATCTTTTCCTTTATCTTGCATGAAGCCTTTTTTCTGGGTATGAATTTGTTATTATGCCAGCTTTGACATTGTGTGCATTCCTCCATGATTTTATGTCCAAACATTTATTAGACAGGAAACTCTGTAAAACATCTTCCAACAAGGGACCGTATTATTGCATGTTATGTCACGATCAGTGTACTTTTCATTTGATTTCTAAAGCTGTTAACAAGCACATGGCTATCCTGGCAATAACTACAGCAAAGACAGTCTTGTTGCAATTAACTTCAGTGAGCAATAATTCTCCCCTGAAGTGATTTTTTGCAGTGTAATTTACCAGTTGGTTGCCCATAAACTGTTGGCTGGTTGCAACCTGGAAATTTTTATTCACTTAATCAGAACAACCAAGCAGAAAAAGAAAACTGGCGTCTCATGGTTTATTATTGTGGCATTTTCTTTGGATTCTTAGCTGGGCACCAATAGTTTCTCTCACAACACTGTACACGATTGAAATGTCTTTTGTGCAAGGAAGTTTTTTAAAAACCCACTAAACAGTCACATTAGCTCATGATTTCTTTTAATGTTGGTTTATTGAATGGGCTACGATGGCCTGATGTAAGCCATAAATTATGTCTTATAAACCCCAATAGCTGCTAGGATATCGCAAAAGAGATGGGTTACATGCAGGGCCCAAATTACTGTAAGGTAAAGGTAAAGGTTCCCACATACATGAGTGCTAGTCGTTCCCGACTCTAGGGGACGGTGCTCATCTCCGTTTCAAAGCCGAAGAGCCGGCGCTGTCCGAAGACATCTCTGTGGTCATGTGGCCGGCATGACTAAATGCCGAAGGCACACGGAACACTTTTACCTTCCCACCAAAGTGGTCCTTACTTTTCTCCTTGCATTTTTACGTGCTTTCGAACTGCTAGGTTGGCAGAAGCTGGGACAAGTAGCAGGAGCTCACTCCGTTACACGGTGCTAGGGATTTGAACTGCCGAGCTTTCTGATCGACAAACTCAGTGTCTTAACCACTGAGCCACCACCTCCCCTAAATTACTGTTACTTGTCTAATAAAGTCGTCTCTTATCGCAGTTGCTAAACTGTTTTCCACCATTTTGAGGCCAGACACATAAATACACTAATGAACATTTAAGGAAAGAACAGGGATTAAAACTTATCCTAAAACTTTCAAATGAGTTTTTATCACATTATGTGTTATTACAGCTCTACTCAGCCCGCTGTCACCCTCATTCTCCTGAAATATTTTAAGTTTAGCTATGAAATGTTTATGACTGGTGAGGGCCAAACACTACCTGATGACCTGTTTGTGGTCTCTTACTGCTTATTGGGCCCCCTGAACAGCTGCTGGGACAGAGAATATATTGGACCAAGCAGGGTTTGATTCATTAGGTTTAAGGAATTGTCCAATGGTTTTTTTTTTCCAATTCAGCTACTTAATACCATTCCTCTCTTTTGCAAAAGGAGCTGATCCAAGTGGTTTAAAAGCTATAAAAAGCACAAAAAAGTAAAAAATATTCAAAGCATTTGTACGAGCTCAGGCTCACAGCAACAACACAAGTAGACCTCAACTTACAACAATTCTTTTAGTGACTGTTCAAAGTTAAAATTGGACTGAAAAAAAGTGACTTAATGACTGTTTTTCACACTTTGGACCTTTGCAGCATCCCCATGGTCACAGGATCAAAATTCAGATGCTTGGGCATATTTGGGCATAAAACATATTTATGACGGTTACAATATCCTGGGAACATGTGATCCTTATTTGCAACCTTCTGACAAACAAAGTCAATGGGAAAACCATCTTCCCCGAACCATTGTGTTACTAATTTTAACAACTGTGGCAAGAAAGGTCATAACATGGGGTAAAATTCATGTAACAACCATCTTGCTTAGCAGCAGAACTGTTGAGCTCAGTTGTGGTCGTAAGGCGAGGACTGCCTCTTCTGTGTAGACCAGAAGGGGAAACAAGGTATAAGAACAAGGTATAAGCCGTGGCTAAGGTAAAATGCCTATTGAAGAAGAAATGTTTTTCCTTGCTAGTTGGAATGCACTTTTCCAAAACAGGATAGTAATCTAAATTCTTTTTTTATAACAGAACTTTTTTATTTTTCTTTAAAAAAAAAACACAAATATGTCATCATTTGTCAATCATTAAGACATTGA